CTCTATGGATTGCCTGTTCCAGGTACTTCATATAAGTGAAGTTATATAGTATTTGTCCTTCTGCATCTGCCTTGTCTCTCTAACTGAAATGTTTTCAAAGTTGTCCCACCTTGTAGCAGATATCAAACTTTCGCTTTTATGGCTGAAATCTAGTCCATTCTATGTACATAAAAGATTTCATTTATCCATTCAGTCGCTGATGGACACTTGCGTTGTTTTCATCTTTTGGCTATTGTGAATAGTGCTGGTATGAACATGGGTGTACAAGTATCTGTCAAATCCCTGCTTTCAGTTTTGTTGGATATATACCTAGGAGAAATTGCTGTGTCATGTGGTATCTCTATGTTTAACCTTTTGAGAAATCGCCAAACTTTTCCACAGCTGCTGCAATATTTTATATTTCCACCAGCAATGAACAAGCATTCCAGTTTCTCCACATCTTCTGCAATACTTATTATTTTCCATTTCTTGACTATATCCATCCTAGCAGGTGTGAGGTGGTATCTCACTTTTTTTTTTTTTAACATCTTTACTGGAGTATAATTGCTTTACATTGTTGTGTTAGTTTCTGCTGTATAACAAAGTGAATGAGCTATACGTATACATATATCCCCATATCCCCTCCCTCTTATGTCTCCCTCCCACCCTCCCTATCCCACCCCTGTAGGTGGTCACAAAGCACCGAGCTGAGCTCCCTGTGCTATGCGGCTGCTTCCCACTAGCTATCTATTTTACATTTGGTAGTGTAGATATGTCCGTGCTACTCTCTCACTTCGTCCCAGCTTACCCTTCCCCCTCCCCACGTTCTCAAGTCCATTCTCTAGGTCTGCGTCTTTATTCCCATCCTGCCCCTAGGTTCTTCAGAACCTTTTTTTTTTTTTTTAGATTCCATATATATGTGTTAGCATATGGTATTTTGTTTTTCTCTGACTTACTTCACTCTATGACAGACTCTAGGTCCATCCACCTCACTACAAATAACCCAATTTTGTTTCTTTTTATGGCTGAGTAATGTTCCATTGTATATGTGTGCCACATCTTTATCCATTCATCTGTCGATGGACACTTGGGTTGCTTCCATGTCCTGGCTATTGTAAATAGTGGTGCAATGAACATTGTCTCACTGTGTTTTGATTTGCATTTCCCCAATGGCTAATGATGTTGAGCATCTTTTCAAGTATTTACTGGCAGTTTATCTTTGGAAAAATGTCTGTTCAAGTCCTTGCACGTTTTTGTATGGGGTTGGTTTTTTAAATTTATATTTTTGGCTGCATTGGGTCTTTGCTACTGTGCATGGGCTTTCTCTAGTTGCGGCGAGTGGGGGGCTACTCTTTGTTGCAGTGCGCAGGCTTGTCATTGCGGTGGCTTCTCTTGTTGTGGAGCACGGGCTCTAGGCACCTGGGCCTCAGTAGTTGTGGCACATGGGCTTAGCTGCTCCAGTGTGGGATCTTCCCAGACCAGGGCTCAAACCCGTGTCCCCTACATTGGCAGGTGGATTCTTAACCACTGCACCACCAGGGAAGTCCCAACCCTGGGGTTGGTTTTGTTGTTAGTTTCTCAGAGTATTTTATATATTTTGGATATTAAATCCTTTTCAGTATAAGATTCACAAATATTTTCTACCAGTCAGTAGTTTGCTGCTATGGGCGGGGTGGGGGTGGGGGGGCGCAGTTCTTTAGAGACTGGTGAGTCTGTCACTGCAGGTGTGCCATCCAGGGAAAGGGGATATGAGTGGAGATTAAACTACATCCATCATGGTGCCATTTTTAGTGTTTGTCTTCTGTTTAATTCACATTCTCAAATAATCGTCATTTGCCTTTATAATGATTGAAGTTAATGAGGCTTAATCAGGTTTGCCTGCGTGATTGAAGTGAGGCGATTTGAAGTCATCAGTTGGAACATTCCGCAAGGCAACACGGAAGCAATTCTGCCATAGTCCTATCGTGAACCTCTCCCCCATTGTTTTATACTCCTTTGAATGTGTCCGGTTAACTGCTACACGGTCCCCTCCCCCCCATATATGCACTAACACCAAACTGTTCCCAGCCAGGGTACAATTATCATTTTAAAATTCTCCAGGGGAAGGGGCTGCGAGGGGGTGTGTAGATGAAACTAGATCTCCTGGATGTAAACGATGGTTGAGGGTAGACACGAGTTCCCCAGCTGTGGGGGAGGGGGGGGCAAGTGATGACCCTGTTATCTACAGTTTTTTGTGCTTGAAAACGTCCATTAAAATCGTATTTTAAGGAGCAAACGTTAAATAGTACTCTTGGAAATTATAAGTGTTCGAACAGAAGTAAACTGATGTGGATGAAACAAAGAATTCGCCCTAGAAGTAGAATAAGAGCAGGAAGACACACTCAATAGGAAACGAAAGACAGCAAAAAGAACTTGCTGAAAAGCTCTTGGGAAACCTATGGTTGTCCCGGGGGTTGGGGGCCCTGTGGGCTTTCAGCTGGTATGGTTGGTGGGCACTAGAATTCCCGCAAAGTATAAGGAGTTGCTGGGAGCAAGCTTTTTCTCAGTCAGGTAGTAAATACTTTAGGCCGGAGGGTCTCTATGACACCTATTTAACGCTGCCTTTGTATGTAGAAGCTGCCCTACACGACGGGTGTGGCTGCATGCCAGTAAAACTTTACACAGTGAGCGTCCCTTCCCACCCTCCGACCACAGGCGCAGACCCCTGAATTGGGGCATCAGCTGACGTGTGTGGGTTTCACCCCCGCACAGTAAAGGTCTGGTTACACCGACTCAAAGCAGGAATGAGGGTGTTGGTTCCAGTGTGGCAGGAAACGGACGGGCGTTCTGCAGAAAGCAGACCGTTCTGAAAAGTATTTCTGCTTTAAAGGAAACGTGGGGCAAAGGCAGAGTCTGGCTGAGGCCGAGTCTGGGCCTGAACTGGAGTTTCCGTGTGAGAAAAATTAAGACGGGGTGAGACTGAAACCCTGTGAGCTTGTGCAGCACAGGGCGGTCAGTACGGACGTGCACCTGCCTGAGAAGGGGGCATCTGCAGGGGCAGGTAGGAGGGAGGGTGCAGATGAATGTGGGGACGTGCCGAGGGCGTACGTGCAGACGGGCCACGGGACCAGGGTGCCTGGGAGAGGAAGTGTGTCCAGTGCTGGCGCCCAGCTGCCCTGCGTCGGCTCCGCGCCCGCCGCCCTCGGTCTCTGGCGCCACCTGCTGGCCACAGGCCCACAAGCCGCTCCCCGACCCTAAACCAGAACAGTCCTGGGTGGGGGGCTTGTCCCTTCAACCCCCTGGACACAGACGCCCGGTTGGAGGCGCACGCACAACGGCCCGGGCGGCGGGCGTGAACCACCAGGAAGGGACGGGTCACTACAGACCAAACGCTCGGGCCTACGAGGCGGGCGCCCTCAGGCGGCAGCTCCCACTGAGAGATGGTGGCCGGAACACTCTGGAAAGCGTGATACATGAGGAGACCCAAGGTTCTGGAGCTCCTGTGTACTTCACGCTGTAAGGAATGAAAAGGAGGACGCCCGGGAGGTGATGCTGCCTCATGGGCACGTGGCTGCCCGGGTTGTGGTGGTTTCTCCTCCTTTTGACAAATAAGGAAACCACCAGAGAGATTGCAGTCTCTAACCTTTAATCCTTCTACTAGCATAAACTGAAGTCCCACATTCTCGTCATTGCCTTGCTCTGCATTTTTTAAGATTAGGTGGCGGGCAGGCTCTGCGGCATCACGCCCAGTGAAACAGAGGGTCTGGCTCGTGTCTGGAGGGGGAGGGTCCTCGGGGACCCCAGGGGCTGGAACGGGAAGGCTCAGGAGCCCGAGAGTCAGGAGCAGGGATCAGGATGGCCCCCAAGGATGGTACCCCTGCCCTTGGCAACTGCCCCACCGCCCCCCCCGGGCCACCGCCCCACTCCCACAGTCCAGGTGGCCAGGAGCCCGCCCCCCACACCCCATAAGCCCAAGAGACACAGCACCTTGAGTCCTGAACCAACCGACTGGACCGAGTTCCCTGGGCCCCATCCTCCTTGGGGAAGGGTGGTGGTCCCCTCTTCCATCTATCCGGACCCCACAAAGCTCCAATCACCGCAGGTGCGCAGGAGGGAGCCTGACCTGACCAGTCCAGGGCCACTGATTCTAACCCCCGCCTCTGACCTGTACACTCGCTCCTGTTCTAGGACCCATCGGGGCCACCATGGCACAGCTGTGTCTGAGGTTCCCCAGTCACCCCCCCACACCGTGGGAAGTGGGGAGCACACCCTCTGGCCCCCGGTGGTCTGCACGTACCTGTGCCCTCACTCGCCCCATGCCACGACACCTCCTGGGAAAGAACAAAGGCCAGTTGATCCCGCGGTGCCCGACCTGTGGGATGGAGTACCCCCGTGCCCCTGAGCCAGCTGTTAAAAGGAATCACTTCGGGAACAAACCGGGGCGGGGACCTGACCCCACGAGCGTGGAGGAAGCCCACGTGGAGCCCCCATCACCCAGCCGGGACTACGGGGCCTGGACCAGGCGACGCTTGCTGTTCCTAGGGGCGACAGTGGCTTCACCTTGCCGGCTGGCCTGCTGACCCCCTGGGGAACAAACGGGCAGGAGGCACCTGTGGTCTCCGAGCTCAGCCAGCAGCAGCCGATGCGGGGCTCCAGCGGTGCCACACTGGACACGGGAGGATGGCTGGAGTGTGTCTGAGGTGTGTCAAGTGCGTGCCGCCTCGGTAAGGACTCCCCTGTCCTCACCGACAACTCATGAGCCCTGGACCCCAACCTCAACGTGCTGTCTGCTGGCACAGCCCCGGGCCCCGTCAGCTCTCCAGAGGGACTCCTGACCCTCATAAGGGTAACTGTCTGGCCCTGAGTGGGCCACAGCTCCACCAGGACTCAGTGCCCCCTCCTTCCCTCAGCACAGAACCCAACGGCACCCAGAGGGTCAGGGAAATCAAGGCTTCCACGAGGTGCCAGCTCCCAACTGCCCCCAGAAGGACAATGGGTTCAGAGCCCTGGGTGCCCTAGGTGAAGGAGTCACAGAAACCATGAATGGGAACTTGGGGGCACCATGCCCATAAGAATTGCCATTTATTCCCGAAGTTGCCAAAATCATCACCAAGGATTCACCGAGGGGTGCATGAGGGGACGAAGAGGCTCAAACACTGATTGAGGGGCCAGTCAGGAGTTGGGAGGGAGGGAGATGGGTGGGGGGACACCCCCCCCCGCTGTCCCTCCCCCTTCTAATGCCGTGGGCAGGGGTCCCCCTCCGGCCGCACCCCTCCCCATCCCCAGGTCCAGTTTCTCTCCGGGGAGGCAGGGTCGGGGATGGGGGGAGATGGTGTAGTGTGAGTGGGCCCCAGGAGGGGGAAGGACGCTGGGGTGGGGGCAGGGGTCCCCCACTTCACATGCACTCACAACACTGGTCGCCCAGGGAGCAGGAATGGGGGAAGCCCCCTCCCGCCCTGGATTATAGGAGGAAGGGATTAGTGTTGGGGGCTGGGGGTCCCTGGGGCATCATGGGGGGCAGGCCAGGGCCCCCGCCAAGGGGAGAGATGTACGTCGGCGGCGCTCCAGCGACCGGGGGCACGGGGCTGAGCCGGAGCTGGTTCAGGGTGAGTGTCGCGGGGGGCGCGGGCTGGAAGGGGTTGGTGATGGAGGGGCCGGTGGCCGGGCCTCCTGCAGGGGGAGACGACAGGGAGCAGAGTCGAGTCAGGGGTCTGCCGGGCGGGCCAGCACCCCTGCTCCCGGGCCACACTCACCACTCGGCAGGAAGGGGTTGGAGGCCTTGGCTCCTGGCGGCGTGGGGCCTGGCCGGCTCACCAGCGAGTCCAGGTCTACCAGGGCGGCATTGGGCCCCAGGAACGACTCAGGGGTCTTCCGCGTGGGCGGCGTGGGTGTCGGGGTGGCTGCAGGCGGGGGGCTCCCCACAGCTTCGGCCAGAGAGCCCCCAACCCCACTCATGTCGAAGGCACCGGGACTACGAGCGGGCACCTCTCCGGCGAGCAGCTCCAGCTCCCCTGAAAGGGGCCGCAGAGGGGGTTCAGGGGAGAGGCTGCTGTGGGGACCCTGAGGAGGCGGCCCCAGAGCCAAACCATGGGAGTGTGAGGCCAAGAGGCAAGGCCGGGAGGACCACCCTCTGACAGCCTCCAGGTCAGGGACCGACCCCAGCGGGTGACAGCAGAACAGCACCGCTTTCGGGAAGCTCACACGACAGGTCACGACTGCCCCGAGGGGACGCGCGGGGGGGCAGTGGCAGGTGCCCACCGTCCCAGGAGACTGGGTGATGTGCCATTAGCGTGAGGCCTGATTTTTTGTTTCTTAAGATTTAAGAACCCCGTCTGATACTGAAAGACATGCACACATGTAGCTGAAGAGAAGCCTGGAAGAGTGAGACCTGCAGACTGGATGGCAACCTACGGTCAGCCTGGGGTGGGGGAGGCACTAGTGCCAGGCCTGCTCCCTCCACAAAGCCTGCTGCACTCGAAGATGCAGAAAAACCAAGGGCCCAGAAGGAATGTTACCCAGGGCGGGGAGGTGGGCACTATGAAGAGAGCCCCCAACACCATACAGACTCGGGGTCTCACCTCAAGGACAAGCCCAGGGACAACCTGCAGACACAAGGGCCAGCCCGGACTCTGGCCGGAAGACAGGCGCTCGGAGCTCCAGGAAGAGGGGCGCACAAACACCCCTGCCCCAGGACGCCGGTGGGCAGGTGAGGAAAGGCGTGCGGTCCCCAGAGGGAGGAGCAGCCATCAGGCCAGTCCAGGCGCCACACCGCCTGGAGGCCCCCAGAGTCTGCACTGCACTCCAAGAAACATTCCAGGGTGACAGCAGCATTTGGGGAAACTGGATAAAGGGAATTCTCTGTACGATTTTTGCACCTCTTCTCTAAGTCTGAAGTTATTTGAAAACAAAGTAAGAAGTTCCTCTTTACGATGGGTGAACGACCAGCTCCGACCAGCTCCACCTCAGTCACGCTGTTACAAGAGCCCTGGGGGCCGGGCCCACCTGGGGACTGCAGCCATCCTGCTGTGTCTCAACCCTCAAGCAGCCGCCCAGCCTGGAGGACAGGCCTCCTGGGCTTGGGGGGGACACTCACCCGTGCTGCTCCCAGAGGCTGGCAGGGCTGTGCGCAGTTGCTCGAAGTCGGAGAACTCGTCGGGCTCCGTGTCAAACCCCCCGACCGCTGTGGGGTCAGGGTGTGCCCTCAGCTTCCCCAGGGTCCCAGGTGATGCGACTCCTCCCACACTCGAGGCCCGGCCCCCCCGGGCCACCCCCCAGTACCTGCGGTGCCATTGGCGCTGGGCTTGGTACGGGACCCCCCCCAGGGGTCTGAGAAGGCCGGGGCCGGGGCCCAGGGATCGGAGCCTGGGGGTCCGCCGACTGGGGCCCCGCCTGCGTGAGGAGGAAGGCAGGTGAGGGGCCGGCAGCCCACCCCGCCCCCCAAAGCCAGGCAGCCCCGAGGCTTCAGGCCCCGAGGCTTCAGGCCCCTCCCACCACGTCCCCACCCTCCAGCCCTGCGGCTCACACTGCCAGGCGCCCCCTTCTGGCAAAGCCCCCCTCAGCCTTGAGGCCTCCAGAAAGCCCCCGAGAGGCCCCTGGCCAGGGTCGGGTGAGGGGTCTCGTGCGTGCCTCACCCAGGCCCCCCCCCGCCTCCTACAGCCCCCACAGCCGCTGGGCACCCACCCCCCAGGCACCCCAGGACTGCACGCCACACGCAGGGCCAGGGAGGCAGTGGGCACTCACCATCTGAGCTCCCCCACGGGTCGGGGGTAGGTCCTTCTCCAGCCACAGGGGCCGCGGTCCCACCCCAAGGGTCAACCGGGGGCCCCGCGGGGGCAGCAGGCCTCCAGGGGTCCCCGGAGGCCGGTGTAGGAGCCGGACCACCCCAGGGATCAGCAGCGGGAGGCACAGGGGGTCCCCCCCAAGGGTCCGAGGTGGGGGCCGCCGTGGGGAGGGCAGCAGCCATGGGCGCTGGGCCCCCCCAGGGATCCGCGGCCTGCGGAGCAGCCGGAGCCGTGAAGACGTCAGCAAGATCCATGAGGGACGACTGCAGGGAAGAAAGAGGACAAAGAGAAAATGGGGAGTGGGGCAGACCCCGACCGAGAGAGAGAACGCCGGGGGAGACAGGACAGCCACACAGCAGGAAGGGCAGTGGGAGCCGGGTGTCAAGGTAAGGCAGACCTACCGCCAGGGGACCTCCTAGCGCCCAGAGAGGACAGGAGCGGGGTCAGACGCCCAGCTGCTTGTTCCTCTGACACGCTCCACCCTGTCCACCTCCCCACCCGCCCCGGCCCTCCTCCCCCCAGCCCCTCCCGTCCACTCTCCGCACAGCAGTCGGCTGGCTCTGCAACACCACACACCCACTTCCCACCCAGCCCAGGCCACTGACCAGTCCCCGACGGAGTGAGGACAAGGGCCGCAGCCGCCGCCCTCGGCCCCGCACCCGCAGCTCCCCATGCGCGTCCCAGGGGTAGCCCAGCTCGCTCCGGGTGGGAGGTGCCCCTGCAGACCCTGCACACCCCTTCCCGGGGCAGGGGAGCAGGCAGGGCAGGGCCGAGATCCTCCTGGGCTGTGTCGGACACTGATGGGGCCTCTGGCCAAGGCCGGCCTGGACACGCTATCCCGCCAGTCCGCCCGCCCACCCAGGCCCGGCCCAGCGCCCACACTCACCTCCTCCTGGCCCACGGTCTCCCTCTTGCTCTCCTCGATGGCCATCTGCAGCCGCAAGTCATCCCCACGGCGGATCCGCTCCTCCTGTTCCGGCCAGAAGCAGCAGGCAGGGGAGGGGTCAGACTCTGAGCGACGGGGCTGACACTGCACTTCCCCCTACCCCACCCCCAAATGGACAGCCCCAAACCCTCCCACCCAGACAATGGCGACTGAAAATTAAAATGGGATGCGGACGATGTGTGGGATGGGGTGGGACACGGGGTCTCAGGCCGGGGTGGGGGGGGGACGATGACGGGAGGGTGCTGTGCAGGGGCCAGGACAGGACGGGCCGGGCCGGGCTGCTCTAACGGGCTAGGGAAGCACGGGGCGCCTGACTCCGGGTGTTTTCTGCAGGGGGTGAAGGTGGTGGAGCCCTGGGGCTGTGATGGAGAGAGACAAGGGCACCCTCACCACCCAGAGCAGCCACAAGGCATCTGCTTCACGTGCCGGGTATCCTTCCGGGGACCCATTAGACACAAGGTCCCACCGAAAACGCTGCAGCACGGATGTTTGGGGGTGGGGCCCTTCAAGGTGAGAGGAGGCGGGGACCTGGGGAGGGTCTCAGGGGAGCCTCGGGGTGGGGAGGCTGCTCTGACCTTATCGTGCTCCTCACGGCTCAAACTAAGGGCTAGCTGGAGCTGGACGTCATCCTCGGGGCCGCAGGACGGGGGCTGGGGGAGAGAGAGTGTGAGGGGCTGGGGGAGACAGATGGGGCCCAGAGGCGGGGAGAGAGAGACGAGCACACACAAGGATGGAGACAGAGAGCCAGGCTCGGGCAGAGCAAGAGACACACACACAGACGTAGTCCCCGAACTGGTGAAGAACAGCAAAGAGACAAGCCTGGGGTGTGGGTGGGAGCCAGGCTGGGCAGGGCCAGGAAGGCCAAGCACCCAGAGAGGAAAGGGAGCGGGGAAAGACGGGGCAGAGGGCGAGCAGAGGAGGGAGACCGGGAGAGGAGGGGCAGGCAGAGGCTGAGGGCGAGGCGTGGAGACGGACGGCAGAATGGCGGTCAGCCCCGCGCCCTGTGGCCCGGCCGTACCTGGTCGGCCTCCTCCTTGCTCATGGCCAGGGCCAGCTGGAGCTGCAGCTCCTCCTCCCCGCTGCTCTGCGGCCAGGCCTGCTCTGCCTCGGGTGGGGGCCCCGAGCCCACGGCTGCGGAGGAGGCTGAGGGGACACACACGCTGAGGCCCAGATGGAAGAGGGGACCCCACGGCCCAGGCAACCAGGCTGGCAGAGTCTGAAACCCCCCACCTCCCCTCGGGCCTGGCCTCCCTCCCCCAAGATCCCCAGTGGGACCCAGACCCCAGGCTCCATGGTCAGGGAGGGGGTGTGGTGTGCATGCAAACCCACGGAGGGGTGCGGCGGCCCCACCTGCAGGAAGGACAGGGTCAAAGAAGGACAGCCCTGATGGCCCAAGACAAAAGTCTGCTGATAAAGAGGGAGGGCCCTGGGGAACCTCTGAGCCCGTGAGCTAAGTTCCTGCACTGGGTCTGAGATGCCTTGTGGCCTGTCTCGGGGCCCCATCTCAGGCCCCAGGGGGACGGAGAGCCTTCCTCCCTGGTCCCCAGGTGGGAAAGCTCCCAACAGCCCCCAGTGGGGAGCCTGGAGCCTCCGTCTCCAGGGCTGGGGCCAGCGGCTGGATGCCGGGGGAGGAGCGGCCTGCACACCTGGCCCCCGGCCCCATCCCGGGACAAGGGGCGAATGAGGAAAGGATGGAGAGAAGACATGGGCCCAGACAGGAGGGAGCGCCCAGCCTTCCCTCAACGGGCCAGGCTCGCTCCTGCCGGCCAGGGAGCGCTCGCCATCACACGTTGCCTCTCCATCCTGACCACCTACCAAGACACCACCTCCATCACCTGGAAACTGCTTGGGCCTCCTACACAGTCGCGCCTCCCCAGCCCCCCCACCCCCACCCCCGTCCGAGAGCTGCCAGGTAGAGCTGCCAGGCCCACCTCTCGGCATTACTCCCATCTCTACCCTTCCCGCTTCAAACGCACAGACGGCTTCCACCTGCGCTCACGACACCACTTGGGGAATGTTTCTACCTTCGACACCCACCCAGTCCCAGCATAAAAGGCCCTTCCCAGGAGCACTCAGGATCCTGCACACCCGTATATAAAACTGAAAGCTTCCCGACACAGCTGGACCTCCCATCACGGAGGATGCCCTTTCTATCTCCTCTACGTCACCTCTTGTCCTCCTAATCGCTGGTCGCCACCCAGCACCTACACTTCCTCCAACTCCAGCCGAGTCCCCCTCACCACCGCTCTGGCCCTCCTCCGTCCTGTGCAGCCACCTAGGGCCTCAGCCCCCTGCCCTCTGCCTGAGCACAGCTCCCGCGGTGGCAGCAACCTCCTCCGGACCGCGCACTCCCTCTCGGGCACAGGCCGCCCCCAGACAGACCAGAGGGGGCACGCAGGTGAAGGGCGCAGGCAGGGGATGGGCCCGGACACCCTGGCTCACCCGTGGCGGTCTGCGCCAGCTTCTCCTTGGTCTTGAGCGCGTGGGCACGCTCCTCCCGCAGCCGGTCCTCGTCGCGCAGCAGGGCCACCAGCTGCTTGGCCTTCTCGCGCACGTTCACACCCTGGTCCTTGCCGTCACGGTCCACGTACTGGAAGTCCTTCAGCGTCTGCACGGCGTACATGTTCTCCTTGCACTGCTGCGACACGCGCTCCGAGCCCGTCTTGATGAGGTACTCCATCAGCGTCATGGCCTGCAGGGGGGACGCACTGTCACCCGAGGCCCAGCTCACCCATGCCCTCTGCAGCACGAGCTGCCACCGGGATGGACCTTGAAAACACCACGCGGGGTGGCCGAAGCCGGGCCCCAAAGAGCAGAGTGTGCGAGAGTCCATTCACGGGAGATGTCCGGGCGGGCAAATCCACAAAGTGTGCCTGGGGACTTGGGGGTGACTCTCAGTGGGATAGGGAGATCCCCCCTTCTGTCTAGGGGGACGAAAATATTCTGGAACTAGGTGGGGTGATGGCTGCACAACACCGTGAATGTGCTTAACGCCACCAAACTGTGCACTTTAAAAGGGTGAATCGCGTGTTCCGTGACCTACGCGCATCTCAATAAACACCGGGAAAGGGGAGACGGCCGGTGCCTCTCCGCAGCCCACATGGGGATCGCCAAGCGATCGGTGCAGACCCTGCTCTGTTCATTAAAACGAAGATCTAAGGTCGCACAGCCGGAAGGCAGCTTGTTAGGTCCCGCTCAGGGTGCCCGGTGCACGACACATCCGCCCGCCTTCTCTAGCACCCTGTGAGTCTGGAAAGTGTCACCCCACGCATAAAGTTTCACACCGCCCGGGCACAATCTGAAGACAATGGCGGAGGAGGGAGAGCCGTGCAGGCAGGGCCCGTCCAGGCCTGGGCGCCCCGAGGGAGGACCACGGGCAGGGAAGGGGGAACACCCTTTGGGATCTTCTGCATTTTATGACATGGGAACAAATCCCTTTTCAGCAAGGTTTAATAGGAAATACCCCCCCACTCCTCACCCCAGGCAAGGCCTTTGTGGTCTGAAGAGCCTGGAATCCAGGCAGTCTGGGGAGTGAGGCAAGGGGTCCTGGCCCCTTTCAGGCTCTGTGGGAGGCCATGGCCACTGTCCGCAGGAAAAGGGAACACCTTAGATTTTTCAGGTGACAGCAGGGGCCTCCCAGAGTTCCCAGACCCACCCAGGGCTCCTAGGTCTAGAGCAGAACAAAACAGAGAGGGAGGGGCAGGCCACCCCGGGGAAGCTGTCTGAACCGCAGCGGAACAGCGGAATCCGCCAGGGTCACATCTCCTCAGCCTTCCCAGGGAGCCTGACCTGTATCTGGCATGGGTCCTGAAGGTGTGTTGACACTATTCACCTCTGTAACTAGAGATTAGTCTTTAACTGACCGAGAGACGTTTACACCTTAGAGGAGAACGGAAAGAAGTAAAAAGCACATCCGCGTGTGGAAGGCAGGCTCCAGAACCCCTGGGCCAGCGGTGCTTTGGAATTCAGAATTTTCACGAGTTCGCGCCATAAAGACTGCACACACCACGTGTAACGGAAGTCCCCCAGAGGAGGGTGAAACCAACGGTCGCACTCTGTGGGACCCTCAAATGCCAGGTAAACCACCTCACCACAGTCCAGATGGGGCCTTGGTGCCAAATGCCTTTTGAAAACTTTCGTTCTCAGAGCTCTGGGGACTTTGGAACTGCAGTTTAAAGACTGCGAACATGGAAATAACCCAAACACCCCACAGGGGGGAAATACACACGTATGAGCCGTGGCGTGTTCATATGACAGGAGCCCCACACACACAACCACGTACGTGAACGAGTGGCTGCTCCACACGTCAACCCCCCAGACGTGACGGCGAACAAAGACAAAAGACAGCAGGCACCAAGGCTCACAGGCCACAGGACTCCACGCCTGGAACAATCTCAGCAGACGGAAGGCCGGGCATGGTGCCTCCTGGGGCCACATACTCTATCTCCACCTGGGCAGTGGCTACAAAGGGGTGCACACACCTAAGAGCCAGCTGGGCTGTGCACTCAGAACATGCGCCTCGATGGAAAACATCACGGGTTTCCAAAACAGCCTGGTCCAGGATGTCCCGGGCCATCAGAATGCGAGCATCCGCTTAAACAGGGGTCAGCAAGCTTTCTCTGTAAAGGGCCGGGTGATAAACCCGTCAGCATTTCAGGCCGTGCACTCCCGGTCCTGAGAGCTCAGCCCTGCACCAGGCCACGTGTGATAAAGCTTTACTTACAAACATAGGCGCAGGGCCAGGTGTGATGCGTGGGCTGTAGTTTACTGACCCCTGCTTTCAGAAATAAAGACTGAGACCCTGCACTCCTCAGCGAAGTCAGGGGACACAGCCCGGAGTCAAGAGGGTGGGCTCAGGGACGGCCCTCTCAGCCCCACCACAGCGAGGGCGGCCCTGAACCTCTGCATCTCAGTTCCCCCACCTGGAAGAAGTACCTCTGCTGCTCTCCGCCCACAGGCACCAGTCACAAAGAACCTGCCACCTGTGGCCTCTCAGGACTCACCTCCCCTCGCACACCTGGACTGGCCCCCTCCCCACCCAGCTTCTGCCCCTCCCCCCAACCTCACACAAAGGCTCCCCAGCTCCCCCTGCCCTTTCCCTTCACAAGAAATGACTCAATCGAATCCAAGACCAAGACCCAAGCGTGGCTTGTAGGGAGGGGCGTGGAAAGGAGCCAGAGCAAACGGGCCTCAGATCCCGGCTGGAACATAAGCGGCACCACCTCTCCAGGCCTCAGGCTCCTCGTCCTAGAACCCACCAGGGACCCACCCCAGCCTCCAGAGGACAGACATGCCCCAGTCCGCGTCCATGAGACCAGGGGCCTCACCCACCTTGCCCACCCCCACATACAGAGCAGGCCCTCAACTGCCATTTTACCGAAGGAACAGCGACAGAAGGACTCACCAACACCCCTGGGCCCCAGGAGTCGGACTCTCCCACAGAGGGAGGTCCCGGGACTGGCCTGAGGCCGCAGTGCTGGGGGTGGGGCCTCGCCACCTGCCCCAGCCCAGGCCCTTTACCACTTCCTGACCCACCTTGAGACGCCAGGCCCCAGGTCCCCAGAACAGCAGTCAAACGAAAAACCCACCCACTGAGCGCTGCCTGCAACTGAGTTCCCTTTACCCAAAGCCTGTGGTCTGTCCTTCTGTCTGTTCACTGGATCGGGGCGTGTGCGTGTATCACTGGGGGCACTTTAGCCACATTTATCAAAATGGCACAGGCACATGCCCAGAAATTCCAGTTCTGGAAAATGGCAAACATACACGGACATTCATGGCTGTCTTGTTTGTAAAAGCAGAACACTGCAAACAACTTAAAATTCCAGCACCAGGTAGCTGGCTACGTCAATTATGATCAACCCAGACAGTAGACAGGAAATTGTTTAAAAAAAAAGAAAGAGTGACAAGTCTTTGTTGTCCTGATGAGAAACGATCCCTAACACGTATGCCTGTTTTCCTTTTTAAAAGTAGGGTATGACTTCCGCACGGTAAAATTCACTCTTCCTTACATGTTGCTTAGCGCTCTGGTAACTGCACACAGCCACAGGACCACCGCTGCAACGAAGATACAGAACCAGTCCGTGGCCCCCAAAACTGCCCGGAGCTGCCCACCTGCCTGGACCTCCACGCACAGATCACCAGAGAGGACAGAAGCTGGGGACACGGCCGCCTCTGAGGGAGGGGTGGACACTGGGCACCCACTTAGGCCTTCTAAGTGGATCAGTCTTGAGAATGTGCCACTTCTTCAAAAACCACAAGGCCCAAAATTCTTTGTTGCCTTCACTGAACAAGAGAGAAATTTACATAAATTACGTAAAGACACAGAACTCCAGCTCCTCTTGGAAACCAGGAAGGCGGCCCAACTCTGGACGCCCCTTGGTGGGCATGCCCCCACACAGCTCTGCACCCTGCACTGACCTTGTAGACATGCCGCCAGTTCTTGCCGTGGTCGTTGAGCCGCTTCCAGATCATGCTCATGATCTCCGAGAAGGCGACGACGTTGTAGGTGAGGTCAGCAATCTCAGACATGAGGGAGCTGGACGGGCCCCAGGGGTCGTTGCTCGTGGCCTCCCGAACCTTGATCTCGGCCTCCGAGTAGTTGTGGACGATGTTCTTCATCTGGCGCCGCAGTGAGGAGGTCGACATGGTGGCTGGCGGTGGGGAGGGGGGCAGGCCCCCCGGGGCGTGCAGAGACGGGGCGGAGGGAGGCCGCGGCAGGGACTGGCAGGTCACCGCATCTGGGGAAAGGAGAGGACCTTTGGGAACACAAGCAGGATCTGCGGCCACCCGGCTCCCCGCTGCCTGCGGGGTGGAGGACCAGGTCCCCACTGTGGCCTGCGAGGCTCTGGCCCTGGTTAACCTCGGCCTTAGTCACCCCATCCACCTTTCAGTTCCTCAGTCATGCCCAGATCCTTCCCGCCAGGGCCCGGCTCAGCGAGGCAGGGCGTGCAGCGGCAGGCCACAGGCCCGAAGGAGGCGCGCCCCAGCCACCACTTCCCGCACCGCACCGCAGTGTTCTCCTCTGTGAGATGGGGCTTCGTTCGGAGCCCAGAAAACTGGAGGGAGGCTGCTGCACAGGAAACGCGCTATCCACGTGGGTGGTGTCATGAGACAGTCCCCTCACGAGGTCCTCGCACCCACCCGCGGGCTCCGCTGGGACACCCCACCCCGACACCACGGCCACCGTTCCCCAGGGGGCCTCGTCGGTAGGCTCACTCGCCCTGGTGATTTTCTACTCGTTTGTCTGACTCTGTGGCTGAGGCCGCCCTGAGAGCCCCATGGGGGCAGAGACCACGTTTGTCTGGACGTGGCTTTTCCCATCAGAGGAGCTGACCCGGAAGAGCCATTCAATAAACCGTGCAGGAAGGAAGGGAAGGAGGGAGGGCAGGAAAGAACTCTGGAGCAGGAGTGAGGGGGGCAGAATCCACTGCAGAAACAAGGACACACAGGGAGGAGGCCGACAAAGGGAGCAGAGATAGACAGGAGGGGGTACGCCAGGGGGACGAGGTGTCCCAACGCGGAGGCTCGCGGAGGAGAGATAAGGAACAAGCCCGCTGGCTAGGCCCCAACTTCGTGCCAGGCACTCCTGGAGCACGAGACATCCATTATCTCATTTAACACTGCGGGCGGGGTTCTAACAGCTGAGGAAGCAGAGGCTCACGTAGGTGAAACAACCTAGCCAAGGTCACACACTAGGCATGGCGGCACAGACTCCACCCCAGGCCACCCTGGGCTCCAGAACATACACTTTTAAGTTAACCTGTGCCGAGAGGAGAGTGATGGGAAAGAAACAGAAAAGAGGAGAAGGGGATCAGGCCAATGAGGCCCGTCACAGCAAGCACTCACACAGCCCTTGCCCGGTGCCAGGTGTGCTCCTGAGTGCCTTACACACGGTAACTCTGTTCATCCCCATGGCGCCGTGATTCACAAACACCTCACAGGGGAGGAACCCAAGGCACAGGCCTCACCTCCGGAGCAGCCCGGTTGCAGAGCAGGTTCTGACCACACCGTCCACAACCTTTCCCGCATGCTAGCCACAGGCAGAGACCTACGGGGATCTCCTACAACCTGAGTCCCAGGGGAGGCAGCTGGCCCCTGTCTTGAACACAGGAAAGCAGGCACTTGGGAGACAGATGTGAACAGCTGAAAAGGGATGGCCAGGGTGCCAAGACGGACTCAGCCAGACACACTAAGACGAAGAGCTGATCTGACAGCTAACAGTAGGAGACTGAAAGGAAAGGGAAAGAGAGAGAAGAAAAAGAGGCACAGAGAAAGCTGGGCAGACAAAGACACGAGAAACAGATAAACATGGGAAGAGAATGAGGCAGGCGGGCAACGAGAAAAGACGGAGACCCTGAAACGCAAAGAGGCAGTAACCTGGGACAGGGAAATAAGAGACAAGAAAAATGGAGAAGAACACGAAATCTGGGTCCAAATTCTGGCCTCCCTGAGATTCAGTTTGCTCAACTCTGAAATGAAGGAAAAGATTCCACCCGGCAGAACTGTTGATTAAATACAATAGATACATAAAGTTCTTGGCACTGCGCCCCGTGGGTAGTAGTTCAATAACGTTGGCTACTATTATTGTCAGAGAAAAAACAGAACTATTTCCAAAAGGGTGGCCATCAGAAAATGTGTTATCTTAACACCGTGTATTTATATTAACGGGCATTAGAAGATACATTCAATCTTCACAGCAAAACTAAAACTTCACAGATACTGCTTAAAACAAGACTACGTTTTTCAAAATTGCTTAGCCCAAAGAGAATTACTAGATCGAATAAAAGATAAATCATACGGCAAAATTCTCCAAAGGGTAGTCAGATATCAAACGATATCAAACGTCATCTGTGTGGAACAAAAAAATCTACAAATAATAATGGAAACCAGAGCTGCCAGCAGTTAACTACACACTTACTACGCGCCAGGGTTAGGCACTTAAAAGCATCACCTCCGTTATTAGGCAAAGCTGCCCTATTACGCAGGAAACATAAACACACTAATTTTAAAGACTAGGAAACTAAGGTTTGGTGATAAATCACCTGACAAATCTTACAAGCTCGCAAAAAGTGGACCTCTGATTCCAGAGCCGAGTTCTCCACCAAAACTAACTCAAGAACCTGGGGGAAGGGGCAGACCCTAGACCAAGCGACAGACCCGCAGAGAGGGACTCGGGCTTGGAGGACACGGGTACCAGGACAAAAATGAGATGGGAAGACGGCGGGGAGAGATGCACAGAGATTAGAGACACCTGGCGAACGGAGACACCAACATTAATCCTGACCCTCAGACGCCGAAACGTGACAGAAAAGCAGAACGAGACCGGAACAGACACACGGAGACAAATGCTTTGCAAAAACGCCGAAACAGACACGGACATGAGCACAAGCGAGGCCCGCGGGAGGCAGCGGCGCTGACACACAGACACAGGCAGACGCGGGAGAGACGAAGAGCCGCGGGCGGCCCAGGCCGGCCGGGAGCAGACACACGAAGGCCACGGAGACGCCCGAGCGCGTCCGCCCGCCGCGCCCCGGCCCGCGCTCACCTCGGCCCCCTCACGCCGCGCTCCAGGGGGTCATGGCGGGCAGCCCCCTGCCCCCGCTCGGCCTCGGTGTCGCGGGGCGCGCGCCGAGCCGCGAGCGCGGACGCGGAGCCGCGCTTGGGCGCACGCGCGGACGCACGGAGGGCCGCACGCCGACGGCCCCGCCGCCCCGGCGCCCGGGAGGGGCGCGGAGAACCGGGCGGGGGAGGGGAGCCGCCGAGCGGACGGGAAGCAACCAAAGGAGGCGACGGACCGGAAGCGGAAGTGGCTGCGCGACCCGCCCAGCCGCCCCGTCTGCGGCAAGCCTGCGCAGTGGCTACTTCCGAGGACACGCTCTCCCGCGTGCCGTCACTTCCGGCGCGCGTGAGCCGTCGCCAGGAGCCACTTGCCTCATTTCCGCCCGCCTCCGCGAAACCCCGGATACGCGCACGGAGAGGCGGGGCGCAGCGAGGGGTCGGCCAGCGAGCTCGGCCGAAGGCGAAGAGACCGCATCGTCGTCCCCAGACCGCCCCCGCGCGGTAGCCCCAGGCCCGCTAGACCATGCCCCACCGCGGTGCCTTGGGACGATCTGAACTCCTGCGCCCACAGGGCTACCCGGATGCGCCCCTCCCCACTTCATACGGGGACCCGTCCACTGCACCCTCCTCCCCGGGGCCACGCCCTACGGCCGTCCTAGAGGAGCAGGCCACGCAGGCGGGGTGTGCCACCTCGGGTGTGCCAAGGGCACGGGTGCCCGTGCCAGATCGACAGTGCGTACAGCTGGGCCTCAGGGAACCCCTGAGAACTGGAGGGGAGGGGGTTACACACACCGGACACGGAGCAGCTCCATAAAGTAAAATACAACAAAATGTTTAATGAGCAAATTCGTCTTAGCAAATATGAAACTGCCACAGAGAGTAGGAGAGGGACAGGGGCCACGGGGTGGGGGGCAGGTCTGGGGAGACTAAAGAGGAGAATCAACTATGTAAGAAACCAGGGAGGACACGGTGGAGAGGACCAGAGGCCAAAAGGACAGGAGCTGTGGTCCTGAAAGGGGAGAGCAGGGTATCGGGGCCGGACAACAAAATTCAAAATCATTTGGCCATAAAATATAAACACGCTATGTTTCTACGGTGGGGAAGGGGAGCGAAAGGGGGCATAAGGGAAGAGAGACTTCTGGGGAAGGGCCGTGGGGGTCCGACCCCGCCCTGCTGTGCACCCCCTCCCCACCCCTTCCCTCTGTGTCTGTGGGTGCATGTGTCTGTGTGGGTCTGTGTGCGCACTTCCCCCGTCCCCTCCCCGCCCCCAACCCCCCCCCCCACCCTTAATCGGTGCCATTCCAGTTGCTGCCGGCTGTCATTCGGCTGTCACTCCTCTGCCCATCGTCTTCAGAGGGGGAAAAGAGGGGGAGCTGGAGGGGGAGAAGCCCCAGCCAGCCCTGCCCCTGCCCTCCCCCGCCGCCTCTACCAGAAGTCCCGGCGGTGGTAAGAGTCGGGGTCACAGTATTTTGTGACAACCACTCTGTTGGCGAACTTGCGACCCGTCAGGCCCTGCATGGCTTTCTGGCAGTCAAACACAGAGGTGAACTCCACGAAGATCTGTGGGAACAAGACACAGGTTGTGAAGACCAAGGCCTCCCGGCCTCCAAGGATGCGCCGGTTCACTCACAGCAACCAGCCAGCATCTACCCAAACCCAGAACTCCGCGGGAGGGAGGGAGGTTTACCAAACATCCTCCAGCACCCCAGGATCAAAGAATGACAGAAGACAGAGACATGCAGAGGCATGGAGAATGAGAGCAGAGGAAGCTTAAGTCAAGAGCCCCAAAGGGCAGGGGACAGGGGTGAGCTCAAGGAGACCGGTCACTTATACTGAGTGTCTCCCCTGTACCAGGCACCATGCTGGGTGCTCCCCCAGCCACCCCAAGGGCCATGGGTGTCTCCCCCAGACAAGGGATGAAGTAAGGAAAGCTGACAAATCAGTACTCAAACCCAGGTTGATTCAAAAAAAACAAAAAAAAAAAACACCTGAACCTTGATCTGCTCAAGCTTCTCATCTTTCTTGAACCACCAGTTACAGAAGTGGAGGGAGGGGTGGATATAACCAGCCTAATTCAGAACATGGGGAGTTCTATAAAAACATGCCCCCTAATGCCTCAACAAGCAAAACGGCTTGCAAAACAAAACAAGAAGTAGTGACAAAACTGATAAATTTTAAGGAATTTTGAAACCAAACTGCAGGGTTCCTTATTTTGATCAAAGCAACTATAAAAAGACATTTTTCAGACAGTAAGGGAAATCGGAACATGGCTTGGGTAGACAGATACTAATGGTAATTTTGTTAACGTACTAATGGTACTGTATGGTTTCGTTACGATAATTTTTTAAAGTTATCTGTTTATAGCAGTAGTTCTCAACCAAGGTGAATTTGTCCCCAGGGGACATTTGGCAGTGTCTGGAGATGATTTTCATTGTCACAAAGGCATGAGTAACACTACTGGCATCTAGTGGGTGGAGGCTGGGATGGGGCTAAACATCCTACAGCACACAGCACAGGTCCCAAAGCAAGAGTGACCAGACCCAAGACATCAGGAGTTCAGATAGAGAACTATACTTAAGCGATATATGAGATATATCTTGTTTCAGGGGAAAAAAAAAGGGGGGAATGGGAAGCTGAATATATAGAAATCAAGAATGATAAGATACTGGTAACCTGAAGCTGGGCAACGGGCCACTAAGACGCTGCTACACATACTAGAATACAACTCTAAAAACATACTATAACCTTAACTCTATCGCCATGACGTTTTCTCTCAACTCTTACGTTTGAAAAGAATGATAATAAAGTTTGAAAACAAATCACATAGACTGATCCCTGAGACCAGGCCGGGTCTTTCAATTAGTCCCCCCCAAACACGTCCTCAGCCCCCAGGCAGCCTCCAGGCTCTCCTCTCTTGAGCCACGACCGCACTAAGGAGACTGACCTGTCATGGACGGGGTGTCTCCAGTGCAGCAGTTAGGGGCAGGTAGGAGCGCAGGCCAAACCCAGTGCGGCCCACCCTCCCCTCCTACCCCCGCCCCACCCCCCTCTGCCCCCACCCGCAATGCTTTTCCACTGCTCCTTGGCAAGTCTGTCCAGCCTGACACCTGAACAGGGATCAGGGTGCCTACCAGACCTCAAACTTGGAAGCAGCTCTGTCCAGCCCACTGCTCCCCGCAACATCTCTGCTGGGGTCTCAGGACCTCAAAGCCAGCCCCCCAACACTGACCATCGTCCCCTCCCCCCAGACCTGCTCAGGTCCCCTGCTTCTCACCTGCCATCTCTGCCAGGTCACCAAACCCAGAAGGCTGAGCATCTCACTGGCTCCTCCCCCTCCCCGGGCACACCCAGATCAGCCGCCATGGTCCCGGCATTCACAGGCCACTGTCTTCTTTCCATCCTCCTGCCTGCTCTAAATCAGGTCACCGTCTTTCACCCAGATGACCACAAGCTGTTAGTTCCCAAAGCTCCAAACATCACATGGCTGTCACCCCCTACCCCTCCAAATTCCCAGCTCTGCTTTGCACTCCATGCCCACCACCCCCCGCCACTGTAAGGCACCACCTCGATGTGCCAGGTGTTTCCCACGTTTAAGAGCTTTAGAAGGCTCTCCCCATCCTCACTCGGAAGAACAGCCAGCATGCTTCCTAGCACCCACGTGGCCCCACTGCTCTCCGCATCACCCCCTCTGGCTACACCAGCCACCTCGCTGCCTCTTGCCAGGACCCCACCTGCCTGCCGCGAGAACTGGGTGTCGCTCGGGCTTCACCAGCTCCTGACTTGCCTACCTGAACACAGGGCCCAGTGCGACGCTGCTCCCCTCCCAGCCACCACCGGAAGCAGCACACGCGCTGTCTCTTAACGTGGGCATCCCGCTGACCCACAAGGCGAGCAGCCACACACGCTGCAGGCATCCCGGTGGGGGGGGGGGGGGGGCGTGAGATGCTGGCACCTGGCACAGTACCAGAGACAACGTGACTCGGTGAGCTCAGAATCAGACCCCAGAAATCAGAAAACTAACTGTGGCGAAGGGCTCGGAGCTGCTGTTCGAACTCAGGATTGACACAGGTGAGCTCAGCAGAGTACTTGGCAGCCGGAAGACACAGGTGGGTTTGCTGCTTTGGGGACTATTTTTAGCACTTTTCTCCCCCTTCCACAGACAAGGCCAAACCACTTAGCCAAGATCACATGAAACCCAGGTTCTGAACCAAAGCTGCTTCTATACAGAGGCAAGAGGCAAGTCCTCAGCCACAGCGGCACAGCACACGCGCTGCCTCTCGCCGCAGGCCTGGGCCCCCAGAGGCCCCGCTCTCTCTGGGTCAGAGTAGGGTATGGGTGTGCGTGTGTGCCCACACACGTGTGGGGACAGGGGACGCTCACGAGAGCACGCTCCCACACACCTTTCCACAGCCGGGCACCTCCACGCCGTCCACGGGGCGGGGGATCTCGATGGACTTGACGAGCCCGTACTTGCTGCATTCGTCACGCACGTCCTCCACGATCTCCTCGTACTCCTCATCGTCCAGCAGCTCCTCGGGCAGGACCATGTTCATGAGGCACAGGACCTCAGTCGGGTGACCACCCATCTGCACCTGGGAGCTCATCAGGCCAGGCACTTGCAAGGTCACAGGGGTCTGGTTGATGGTACTCTGTGGGGCAGCAGGGGCAGGGGCGTCACGGGGCAGCTCCGCCCTCGCCCCCTCCATGCCCACTTCCCCCGAGCCCTCCCCCAAGACGCCATCCCAGGGCAAGACCCTGCTCTGCCCTTGAAGACCCAGGCACCCACTTCCAACACTGGCCAGGAAAGCCAGGGGCAGAGCTTAGGACGGCCCACCCAGCCCGCCCCCGGCCCCTTCCCACCCCCCACCCCCCCCCCCCCCCCCCCCCAGATGTCCCCTAGCCAATGGAAGAT